AACAAGGTCACTAGAGCTGCAGAAGATAACAAAAATCACCCTCAACAAGCCTGCATCATTAAACATTTAAATTTCCTATGTTTTAAGTTTACCCATAAGGAATTATAAATTCTTCTAACAAAAATGTTTTAGGAAATTCTAAGATGCAATATTATGTAATCTATACACATAATTCTAAAAATCCTATAAAGTGTGGTTACACAAGTGGGGGTCTCCGTGGCAAAGCCACTTGCCTCACATTTTGAAGTTAGTTAGTTAGTTGGGTTATCCTCATTGCACTCCGGACATGTCCATAGGTGCTCAGATCCTCCCCTCAGTATGAACCCCAACGTCCGATGGCTAATAGTACCAGTTCTATGTTGATTAACAAGTCTTCTAGCGTGTCTGGTGTGCGTCTCGTTTTTTGCTGTGCCGATCTTAATTCCCAAGTCTGCCATTCTGGCGAGTGATGTGGATTCACTGCCACCAAAGTCCTCTATCCTTCCCATTTCTCGGAGGGCATTGATAATATCAGCATGATCCATAGGCTGACCGTCGGTAGTGATAGCGGATCCAGCCAACCTGTCAGCTCTTTCATTTCCATCGACGCCTGCGTGTCCCGGAACAAAAATAAAGGTGACTCCACGCACAGTGGACTTCTGTAATGATTCAAGCCATTGTCTTCGCACTGAACCTGCTTGAACCCTCCGGATCATACTCATTGAATCACTGAGTATACACACGCGGGTGTATTTTTGTGTTTCAAGCCAGGCAAGCGCTTGCGTCACTGCCATCACCTCCATCGTCATGCTGACATTTTGAAGTTCATGGGTTAATGTCATCCTTCAGTTTACAAGTGCAATTTTTACGGAGATTCCTGGGGATCGTCACCAGAGCTATGGAGTTGGGGCTCTGTGTGGCACTCTCAGCAGGTGGCTAGCCGTTCTGTGGAGACAGACCAAGCCATCTACGGAAAAAAACCTGGTGCAATAAAGTCAATCCTCTCAACTTTAACTTCTAACCTTTATTTTAAACCTTAAGTATGTCAGTAAAAAAAAAAACTTATGAAGAAACACTTTTAGAAAGTTCTGACACTTGCTATATGATCTTCTTCTCCCTCTCTCTCTCTATCAGTGTCTGTGTGTGTGTGTGTAAGAGAGTGTGTCACCATCTCTGCTCGCTCTCTCTCTCTCTTTTTCTCTCTGCTCCAACTGCTTTGCTCTTCTCTATCAGTGTTCTACGAGTGTATCTGACAAACATTCTGAAGACTTCTTATGAACAAATGCCAGCTGAAGGTAGAATGTTAGATGAACAAATATACATGTATTAAAAAATGCGTGAACTTGGAATTTAGTGGAGGTCCAGCCCACAGGAGCATAAAAGAGAGGAAAAATACAACAAGTTTATAACCAGAGTGCTACTGGAATCTTCTCCAACAACAATAGGTGAGGTGAGATGAATCACTTGTAGGTATGCCTGGAGTACTATAATAATGATTCCTAATTAAATTAATAAACATCTTCTTCTTCTTAGCGACCACTGCCTGCAAACTTCAGTGGAAAGTTCTGGCTGTTCGCCCACTTCTGGACTTTAATTTTGTCCAAAAACCTAAGTTCTGTGTGCACACTCAACTTACAGGTCTGGCCAATTTGTATGCAGCCTGTTGGTTCCTCACCTCTCAGGCAGATGCACTGTGGCTTCAAAGAAAACACCCATAATTAGTAAGCTCTTATGACATGCTTATGGGGGGTGGGGTGCAGGCAGTTGGTCTATTCCCTTCCACTCTCAAAGTGGCCCCGGAGTCCACACTGGGAAACCCATGAGTCAAATTATTTACACCCAAGCATTTGCTTGTTGAAAACCTGTTAGAGATCAGAACATAACTGTCCGGGCAAAACTAGACTTCTGTAAGATGGAAAGTATCTAAAAAAAATAATAAACTGTCAATAACAGCAAGCTAAAGAACAAAACAGTGATTGTCAATAATCCATAACAGCGTATGCAGGTGACATATTGTCAATAATCCATAACAGCGTATGCAGGTGACATATTGTCAATAATCAATACCAGCGTATGCAGGTGACATATTGTCAATAATCCATACCAGCGTATGCAGGTGACATATTGTCAATAATCCATACCAGCGTATGCAGGTGACATTTTGTCAACAATCCATACCAGTTTATGCAGGTGACATATTGTCAATAATCCATACCAGCGTATGCAGGTGACATATTGTCAATAATCCATACCAGCGTATGCAGGTGACATACTGTCAATAATCCACATCAGCGTAGCGTATGCGGTGACATATTGTCAATAATCCATACCAGCGTATGCAGGTGACAAATTGTCAATAATCCATACCAGCGTATGCAGGTGACATATTGTCAATAATCCATACCAGCGTATGCAGGTGACAAATTGTCAATAATCCATACCAGCGTATGCAGGTGACATATTGTCAATAATCCATACCAGCGTATGCAGGTGAAATATTGTCAATAATCCATACCAGCGTATGCAGGTGACATATTGTCAATAATCCATACCAGCGTATGCAGGTGACATATTGTCAATAAAAAAGACAATATGGCATGCCTGTAAAATCAAAGGAAGTATGTATGTTTTTTTCTTTCAAATGAAAAAGAACACAATTAACAACTGAAAAAAAAACAAATGATGCCGTCCTTCAAGAAACTTGATATCTGTAAACTGATCGTTAAAAATAAATGTAGGCAGTAAAGATGAAGATAATTTAGGCAAGTGCCATGAAATCTGCAGGTTAGGATGTTTATTCTCGAGTGACAAGTGAATTTGAAGACGGGATAAAAACAAAACAATGGAAAGACAAAGATAATACATAGATGGGTTGGCACACATCATAAATGGAACAAAAACATAAACCTGAACCTGAACCGAGACCACCCATGTTTACCGGCATGACACAAGATGATGCGGGTGAGTCTATAATAACATGTGCCCAGCACCACATGCCCAATGCATCAGCGGCGTAATAAGGCTCCTTTACTTCAACATGCAGATGGTGATTTACTCAACCAATAACAAAAACTAGGACTTATGGAAACTAGGTAAAGGTAATTTACTGATGATAGCAGAAAACAAAAGCCGATCTAGAGAACTAAAAGAACTAGATCTTGAAAAAGGAAAATAATAATTTAAATTGTGACACCTGAAGTGAAAAAAAAATTAAGGTGGTGTTTATTCATGATGCATAGCAGTTTTCCAGTTTCCTGAAAACATTATTTTCTGACTACATTGGTTCCCTCTTTAGCAATACCAACTAAGAAGATGGCCACAAACTGGGCACATCCTGAGGAGAGGCAGACAAAGAATCACCAAACAGGCACTGAAATAGGACAACAAATGAAGTGAGAAAACAAGACTGCTCAAAAGAAGTCCTAAGTCAAACAAAGATGAGGCAGACAAAGAATTACCAAACAGGCACTGAAACGGGACAACAAGTGGATTAAGGAAACAAGGATGCCCAAGTGAGTTCTACGACAAACACTTGATGATAGAGGCTAAAGATGCTGAAATGAATGTTCAAGGGATATGGAAGAATAAACTATGAGTTCTGTGTGGTTTATAAATGGCATAAGAGGATGGTGATAATGAAAACCAACCTGCGGCTATGCTGCTGATGGCAGGTGATTATTCCAGGCAGCCTGAAATCTGGAAAGGTGGAAGAGCCTGAAACCATGCAGCTCCCAGTGTGGGATTGGTAAGCCTGTTGAGAAAGATAATGAATATTAAACACTGTATACATTGTTTTAACCCATTTCATTCCACCATGCACAGTCCTTTAGATATCATGGGTGGAATCCATCCCAGCACCTCTGTCCTCTCTCAAAACATTTACCTTAGTTTCCCCAGTCAACTGGTTTCCCTATTTCAGAGTCTGTCCTCTTCTGTTCATGATGTGCTGCCTGTTGTCATCCTATTGGCTTTCTGTTGTCATCCTATTGTTCTAATAACTTTTAACAGAAATGAATGACTAGAAATTACTCTTATCTGTAAGTTTTTATTGAATTCACCCCATTTAATATTCATCAAATTCCTTAGAAATTTATTTTCAAATGCATTCAACTTTCATTCCGTTTCATTTATGGGTCTCCAACTTTCACTGGTATATGTTAAAATTCAAATAACATTAGAATTAAAAACCCAAAATCTGGTTTCAGAACTACATTACTTAAGAGTCCCATTTGTTGTTCGGTCCTTAAGAAGCTACTGTTGTGTTGCCAATGTCTATCATTATTTCTTGGTGTGTGTGTGTGCGAGAGTGTGTGTGTGTAAAATCTTTGGCAATCAAAGTTATGACCAGAACATGTAAACCGATCTGTTACTTTAAACTTTTTGTGTGTGTGTCTCCAGTGTAATATGCATTTGATCTGCTATTGACATCCTCCAATATATTTGCCTTTCCATAATGATTATATAAACCTTACCATCTGTAATATATATATATATATATATATATATATATATATATATATATATATATATATATATATATATATATATATATATATATATATATCAGCCTTACCATCCATAAAATATCATATATCTTGTAATGAACCTACCCACACACACACACATATATATATATATATATATATATATATATATATATATATATATATATATATATATATATATATATATATATATATATATATATATATATATATATATATATATATATATATATATATATATATATAAAACTGCTGATAGAGAAGTATGGCAAACTCTCCGGCAAACTCCCTACACCCTAAGGTAGAAGAAGAGCAACTAAGTAAAATATAAATATATACACACACACACATATATATATATATATATATATATATATATATATATATATATATATATATATATATATATATATATATATATATATATATATATATATATATATATATATATATATATATATATATTCGCCTTTGCACTTTTAAATATCCTACATCTTATATATATATGAGCCTTACCATCTGTAAAATATCCTCATCTTTAGAAACTACAAGAAGTCGAAGGAAGTCATCACTGCAACAACCAAACAACAATAAATTAATATGTTTTTTTTTTAAACTGTCCTCAACTATTAGAATATTATTTTAACAACTCTCACTGCTACATAATGGACATAAAAATCAACAATAGGTAGGGGGACTGTTTTAGGTGCGGCAAATTGTTTGCTCCTGACAGACATTGACCACTGCAGTTGCCTCCATTTGTAGATTGAGAGGGTATAGTTTTATCATCCAGCTACTGAGCTGAGTGCTTGGTACGACACTCTGAGCTGTGGATTTAATTCGGAATGTGAGTTGTTCACTGTGATTAATGTGGTGTTGTGAATTGCAGATTCAGACAATGGTGTGTGGTCTGTTGCCACAGTCCTAGTGGTGCCTAATGCGATTAACACTGATCACCTGTACAACAGCTGATCTGTCTGTAACTGCTGCTTCTATCTATGATTATCTGCATTTCTAATGTTGGACTGTTTGTCTTAGCACTTTTGATAGCTGCCTTTTGCTTTTAATGTGTGTGTATGCTAGCAGATATGCTCAGGCTGCAGTCTGTGTCAATATTTCCACAAGGGACAGTGTTGTACATTCTGTGTGGTTTTCGTTGGCACAGGAGTGGAGCAACTATGGGGTGATCCGTTTGCTATGAAGCCGAAACTAAGATTACCAAGACTTCAGATGTTATAGTATTTATGCGAGGAGGAAACATTTTTTAACTGCTTTCAGACCGGATATATCCCCTATGTGTCATATTAAAGGTTAAAATATGTGTAGAAATGAGGGCTGTACCGAATATTCGCTTCGTATTCGCTTTGGGGCCGAATAGTGGACCAATAACTATTCGATATTTGGCCAAATAGTTGCGGTCAGGCCGAATATGAATAGTGGTTACCTTACACCCATTTCTGGACTGGTGGAAAATAAACATATCAAGATTTCCCACCGTGGTTCATACTGTTAAGCGTTATCTTTGTGCACCACCTACGAGCCTACCAAGTGAACGTCTGTTTAGTACAGCTTCAGTGAGACAAGAAGCTGCCTTAATGCTGACAACATAGAACAATTTTTTTTTGCCGCTTTCATGGATTAACTAAGCTGTCAGTGACAATTTACAAGTTTAGTTACATGTTATAAAACTAAGAATACTTTCATTCCTAGGTATTTGTTACCACAGACTGACTGACTGAAGGATGCAAAAAAATGAAATGTTTTTTAATGTTTACTATTCTGTACTACATTTTGTGAAGTAAAATTTCAGCGTACATTTGACATTATGGATGTTTTTTTTTTTTTTTTAGATCTATTTTATACACGAAAGTGGAAGAATGGGACTCAGTTTGAATAGTGGGAAGAGAGAAGTAATAGTGGTATGAAAGAAAATAATTATTCCTAAATGTGTAATAAAAGTCAATGGTTTTATTTTGGGACAAGTACAGAAATTTAAGTATCTGGGCACATGGATAACATCAGATGGAAGATGCATTACTGAAATAAGAAACAGAATTGGACAGGCAAAAACTGCATTTTATAAAATGAAGAACATCTTCTGCAATATATATTTGTCATTGAAGGTTAGAAAAAGAATTCTTGCTTGCTATATACATCCAGTTTTAACATATGGCTGTAAGTTTTGGACAATCGGTAGGCAGGCCAAACAATTTCTTGAGGCCTCAGAGATGTGGTTTTACAGAACAATGCTTAAAATACCTTGGACAGCCACCAAAAAAAAAAAAAAAAAGCAACCAGGAGGTTTTAGAAGAGGCGGGAGCCAGAAGACAACTTATCACAGACATCAGAAGGACACAGTCATCATTTTTCGGCCATGTTATAGGATGAGGGAAAAAAGAACATGCTGTGACCACTGGAAAGATCTGTGGAAGGAGGGATAGAGGAAGGCAACGAAAGAAGATTCTTGACAGTCGTGTAGCATGGTATGGAGGTGTGTCAGCACAGGAACACATACATGCTGCAGGGGATCGCAGATTGTGGCGAGGCATAATCGCCCACGTATTCAGCAGAATAGTGAAAATCACTATTCGGTACAGCCCTAGTAGAAATATTATAAGTACCACTTCCTGCTTTGAATTTGTTCAGAGACAAGACGCTTGGAGAACTTGCAAGAATGAAGTTCAATCAGCTATTGTTTTGTGCCTCAACTCAAAGAACTGCTGAAACTGAAGAAACTCAGGTACACACAGAAAAGTTAAACAAAGGCCAAATAAAGGATAGACAGACACTTCATGGATGTGTCACTCAGTTCACAAGTGCAGTTTTTACAAAATTCCCTAAAGATCACTGTTGGAGCTATGAAATTTGTGCCTTCTGTGACACTCTTAGCAGGTAGCTGGTTGTTCTGCCGAGGGAAACCAAACAATTAGGATCCAGGAAACGGGGTAGAATCCAATGCAATGAAACTGATCATGTCGAGGGTCCCAACTGCCCAATGATGATCAGCAATGCAAGACTATTAATGCATCTTAACCTCTCTTGATGAAGCCCACCTCTCATTCATAAAGTGGACCTTGTTCTTCCCAGTAATCCAGTGGTAGGTTAGGGTTTTAACCTACAGAGGAAAACTGGATGGGACAACAATTTAAATAAAGGTGATATTGGGTTCCGTTGGCCAGCTATTGAGTTCATGGTGTGACACTGTAAGCTGATAATTTCATAATAAATACATTAATGTCTGTGCTTCTAGAGATATGTTTATAGACTGCATATTCAGGAAATGATGAGCGGCTGCTGCTAGAGATGGGGGTGTGCCTTATGCAGTAATGCAAGTGCACCTCCTGGGCTATTATGATTGCTGATTCCATCAACTTTGAATAGCAATTGTAATGACAGATTGTAGGTGTCAGCACCTCTCATGGCTGTGCATTTAACTATTGTGTGAGATGTTTGATGTTGCTGGGACTACTGTCTGTTTGGCATTTCACATGGGACAACGATGAGAGATTTGTGCAATTTTCAATTAGGAGGTGACCTATTTGTGGTGAAATTGAAACATTCTTTGTGTTCACTGGCTGTAAACTCTGTGGTAAGTTCTAGTTGTTTGTTTACTTCTGGACTTAAGCCTTGATCCAGAATGTGAGTTTTGTGGGTAAAATCTGTTTTACATATCTGGCTTACTTGTGAGCAGACCTAGTTGTTTCTTGCCTCTAAGGCAGATGTACTCACTTTGCAGAAGAAAACCCCTACTTTGTCACCTTTTACTACATGCTTTTTGGGGAAGCGGAAGAAGTAAAGGTGGCTGGCATATTCTTCTTCTTTTTCATGTTCACCGGCTGTAAACTCCAGCAGAAAATTCTGGTTGTTCATCCACTTCTTGACTTTAAGTCTTTTTCCAGAATCTGGGTGTTGCCTGAGCATCCGTTTCACACATATGACTCATCTGCATGCAGCGGCTGGTTCATTGCATCTCAAGCAGGTGCACTCAGACTTCGAAGGAAGCGCCCAATTAGTCAACTCTTACAACATGCTTTCGGGTAGGCAGTGGGTCTATTCTTGTTTTCCCTATAATAAGGCTCCGGAACCCACGCCATGATACTGAGGTTGTCAATTACTGAGTGCTGATTAGTGTATAAAAATATGATTCTAGCCCCATATGGCCAATGCGCTTCTGGTGTAAAAAAGAGGTTGTTTACATTTACTCATGAGTCTTTTAACACACAGACAACAGTTCTACCACATAAACTAACAAATGTGATGTGTGCACAGGTGACTCACTTAGCTAAGGATAAATATGTCTGTGCTTAAAGATAAATGTGGACCAAATTATGAAACAAAATATAACCCACGTATGGACAGTTAATAGATAGATATCACTTAGCTAATCTATAGGATCATTTCTGCAAGCAAGTAAATATCTTAGGCATTCACTAGAAGAATTACAGTCTCTGGCTGCTGGAGTTTTGCAATTATTGTTTAGATTTGCGGCTACTACTACTGAGATGATTGGCTACTACTGCTGAGATTTGTGGCTACTACTGCTGAGATGTGTGGCTACTACTGCTGAGATGTGTGGCTACTACTGAGATGTGTGGCTACTACTGCTGAGATGTGTGGCTACTACTGAGATGTGTGGCTACTACTGCTGAGATGTGTGGCTACTACTGCTGAGATGTGTGGCTACTACTGCTGAGATGTGTGGCTACTACTGCTGAGATGTGTGGCTACTACTGCTGAGATGTGTGGCTACTACTGCTGAGATGTGTGGCTACTACTGAGATGTGTGGCTACTACTGCTGAGATGTGTGGCTATTACTGAGATGTGTGGCTACTACTGCTGAGATGTGTGGCTACTACTGCTGAGATGTGTGGCTCCCACTGCTGAGACATGTACCTATGTATGTATGTATGTATGCATGTTGGTGGATGTATGTATGCATATTTAGCTGTGTATGTGGATGTATATGTGTGTATTTAGGTATGTATGTATGTGTGTAAAGATGTGAGTGTAGGTATAAATTTGTGTATGTATGCATGTATGTATGCATGTATGTGTGAATGTATGTATGCATGTATGTGGGTGTATGTATTCATGTAGGTTTAAATGTGTGGTTGTGGGCATCTGTTGGTGTCTGTACATGTGATTCTATGTGTGTGTATGCATGGACTGCTGAGATATGTGGCTACTATTGAGATGTCTGGCTATGTGTTTCTGTTACTGCTAATATATGTTTCTATTACTGCTGAGATGTGTGCCTACTACTGCTGAGATGTGTGGCTACTACTGCTGAGATGTGTGGCTACTACTGCTGAGATGTGTGGCTACTACTGCTGAGATGTTGGATTCTGACTATTTTCCATTTTACTTGTTAACTCCTTCCACAGATGAGAGATCACCTCAGTCTTGTGCAGTTGCAGTACACTTCCACGTGGATCTAATCCAGTCAACCTATCTGCCTGCTCATTCTTAAAAACCTCTACAAAGGCCGGACAAAATATCCATTGACTTTTAACAACTGTGACCTCTGGACTGATGTCACCATACAAAGAAAAACCTGACTAAACTTTCCTGAGTATGCTATGCGAGTATGCTATGATAACAAGTATGGCTGAGATCATCGCCACCTATAAGAATGCTCAGTCTCCATTCTCTTGCCAAGCTCTCTTCAGTTATTCTTCTCTCCCATCATTTTTCAATGGTGAAATAAGAACTATGAAATGCATTTGCTAAACTAGAAGCCACACCGGTTTTATGAAATATAGGGTGTATGTTTAATAATTGTAGTCTTTTTGAAATCAATTATTTGTGCATCAAAATCAAATTTGTGTATTATGTCAAGTTTCAAGCACCATGTAACCGTTGGTTTAGAATAACACTGCTATATACCAGAGCTTTAGTAACAGATATTAGCTATCATAGTGTTCACTATTAAAGAAAGAGTATTTTTGGTTGAGCATGTGTTCCCTAATGGTGGCAGTTATTCAAATGTGGTTGTTCAACAATGTATGATGTAATTTCCTGATCCTCAAGTGCCTCATCCTAGTATTGTTCACAAATTACCCAGTAGTGTTGATTGTGAATAAAGCTATAATGTGGAAAACAGTACCCAAAATAAGACACACTATAGCAGTATATGTTGCATTAACTAAGACTGTGAAAAAATAGGAACTGCAATATTAACTTTATTTTTAAATAGTCATTAAAAATATACCTTACAGTTACTATAATAATAAAAGCAAATATTTCTAGCTGCTATCATTCAAGTGCCACTAACCTCTGTTTTATGGCTGCAATGATATCCTGATAAGACTTGTTGGAGACAGTGTCACCATTAACAGCAACAATTCTATCTCCTATGTTCAGACCTGCATAAAAGGCGGGGCTTCCCTCTGAAACACTCTTCACAAAGATTGTTTCTTGGGGCTGTATGTTTTCCTCTCTTGATATATAATCTAATAAAGAGGTAACAGAAATATTACAAAGTACTAGACCATTTAATGACTACAAACAGGACTATTTCTGATGGTAGGTAACAGTATGCATTACTAGCACCTTTCTTTTAGGCACAATTTTGTCAGCACAACTGGGTACCAGCAACTTTTTTTACACTTTATGGTAAGCACCAGCATCCTTTTTTTTCCCTAGAAAGAAAACCCTGACTATAAAGATGAAGAGATAGAAATAAAATAGATGCTCATAACTGGAAACTTGTATAGGAAAGGCACACATCGCATGGGTGTTTTCTGTCTTCACGTTTTTATCATTGTCAATGCATATTTTGTCAGAATTTACCAATCCACAAGGGCATTCAAGGCTTGTCATGTCAACAGATGTAACGGCACTTCTTTCGCCCTACTGCTTATGCTGTAAAGCGTCACAGAGAGGGTTTAGATGTAGTTTCCTGTCTTTTGCTTGTTGCGTAGCTCGTGTTAATGTCATTCTCCATTTATGTAGTGTCTTTTTTACTCCCTCAAAACCATCTTTTTTTCAGTTGGCCTCCTGCCTTGTAGACTGCTATTCTCATATAGTATGCTCTAGCTGCTGGCTGATCTTGTTTCATTCTGACAAGATCACTAAACCATTTGATTCTTTGATGTTGTATGAAATCATTTATCAGTACTGCGCTTACCATTGTTCATAGTTCTTCACTGGTGTCTTATTATGGCCTGAGGAGAATGGTGCTGTCAAGGAGTGACCAGGGGATCCGGCCAACGCTCAACACTCACAGGAAAAGTGAGACAGATAAGATATACTATCAGACTGTTACTAGTGACATCAGAACTAGAACTCTCAGCACCTGCTGCTGAAGATGGGTATGGAACACTTAAGGGTATGTCCCAAGTGCAGTGTGATTCTTCTTTCAACATACAACATTAATTTTGGCGACTCTGCCTCTTCTTGTTTTTCCCTGACATTTCTATTCCATAAATATGATGCAACACAGTGTTTATGACCGGTCACAACGACAGAAGTTCTGGTAAGAACAAATATAATCCTGCTGGCCACTGAGCTAAGAATCTTGGGCCCTTAATTGGTAACCAGTCTTCTTCACTTCCTCATTTAACGCTTTGGGTGTCGAAGGAGATATAAGTCTTGTTTTTCCCTGACATTTCTATTCCATAAATATGATGCAACACAGTGTTTATGACCGGTCACAACGACAGAAGTTCTGGTAAGAGCAAATATAATCCCGCTGGCCACTGAGCTAAGAATCTTGGGCCCTGTGTTGGTAACCAGTCTTCTTCACTTCCTCATTTAACGCTTTGGGCGTCGAAGGAGATATAAGTCTTGTTTTTCCCTGACATTTCTATTCCATAAATATGATGCAACAGTGTTTATGACCGGTCACAACGACAGAAGTTCTGGTAAGAACAAATATAATCCCGCTGGCCACTGAGCTAAGAATCTTGGGCTGCTGTGGTGGTAACCATTCTTCTTCACCTCTTCCTTTACCACCTCGGGTGTCAAGAGGGATATATTTTCTGCATCTTGCTTTTCTGGCTTCATTGTACCTAAGCGTCATCCCCATGTGGGATGCAATGTTTAGTTATTTTGAAGCTACACCCTGGCTTCTGCCGGTTCCCTAAATATAGCCGGGCCTTACATGTGGCCTAACGGCTGAACGGGGTTTCCGGGACCTTCCCATGGGTGATCCTCAGCCGCATGGTGGCACTTTGTGTCACCGGCTGTTTATCGCGTGATGTCCTGGTGGGGCATAACTCACTTACTTACTACTTCTGGCCGACTTGACCATAGACACACTGTGCTGCTGTCGAGTTTCTCTGATGTCATCTTTCCATCTCACTCTTGGTCTATCTAGTGCTTGAAGCTCATTTTCTACTTGTTTTTAGTGTATAGCATGCTTGATATGCTGTCACTGATAAACCATTAGTCTACCAACGTTTTCACGAAACAATACATTACTTGACTGCCTAATTACCTTTACATTCAGAGGTTCATGTGCACATAAATGAAATCTACAAGCATACAAAGACTCACACTCTAAGTAAGCAAACTAACCATTTACTGGACGTACCTTTATATGAAACTAAACATTTACTGGACGTACCTTTATATGAAACTAAACATTTACTGGACGTACCTTTATATGAAACTAAACATTTACTGGACGTACCTTTATATGAAACTAAACATTTACTGGACGTACCTTTATATGAAACTAACCATTTACTGGACGTACCTTTATATGAAACTAAACATTTACTGGACGTACCTTTATATGAAACTAAACATTTACTGGACGTACCTTTATATGAAACTAAACATTTACTGGACGTACCTTTATATGAAACTAAACATTTACTGGACGTACCTTTATATGAAACTAAACATTTACTGGACGTACCTTTATATGAAACTAAACATTTACTGGACGTACCTTTATATGAAACTAAACATTTACTGGACGTACCTTTAGATGAAAACTCATCTTCATCCTGAGAATAAATAGAAGAAATAATATCAAACAACTGGCAACAGAAATGCAGCTGATTACACTTTATCTCACAATTTTCTGACTGTTTATGATTTCACTAGAAAATTTTACATTCAGTAGTTTGCCACTGCTTATTTCAGAATTCACAGCAAAATTCAGAAATATTGAAGAAGACAATAAAAATTTAAAGGAACATCTAAGCAGAGGCCAATAAACAAGCCTAGGCTAGTAGTCCTTATAGTTTTAGCATTTCAGAACTTTCAATGGAGAACATCTCTCATTTATTAACATCCCTGACATCTTAAAGCTCTCGCGCAGATTTTAAAAAAAAACTTTGCATTATTGAGGAATGGTGAAAGGAGAAAAAAAGAGGAAGAGGAGGGGGACGAATGGGGTGGAGAAATGAGGAGGAAAAATGAAGAAGAAGAAGAAGAAGAAGAAGAAGAAGAAGAAGAAGAAGAAGAAGGAGAAGAAGAAGAAGAAGAAGAAGAAGAAGAAGAAGAAGAAGAAGAAGAAGAAGAAGAAGAGGAAGAAGAAGAAGAAGAAGAAGAAGAAGAAGAAGAAGAAGAAGAAGAAGAAGAAGAAGAACAAGAACAAGAACAAGGAGGAGGAGGAGAAGAAGAAGAAGAAGAAGAACAAGAAGAACAAGAAGAAGAACAAGAAGAAGAAGAAGAAGACGACGAAGAAGGAGGAGGAGGAGGAGGACAGAAAGAAGAAGAAGCAACTGAGTTGGCAATTTTAAAAAAGCAGATAAATATAAATTTAAAAAAAGTCTCTGGAAACAAAAACAGGTAGTCAGTTGTTTGCCGGATTCACGTACAAAAATAAACATGTAGCGCGGTAAACAGGCGTACATTCAATCTATTTATACGAGTTTATACACACGAAATGTATAACCTCTTACCACTAAAATAAATATCATGAAACAATTTTACTGGTTGAAAGATCGTTACGTCTTTTAACTGTGATCATTAAAATATAAGTGAAACCACATAACAATAAACGAAGCGACTACATCAGTCTCACAATCCTGAAACCGTATCTAAGTCCGTGGAAACAAAATCGACCCAAGAACGGCTACCACAATTTTGTTTGGTATGGAAGTGCCGAATAAACAAACAACCGCTTACATTTAGTTTCTCTACTTCACGACTGTGTACGTAAGGACTAAACTATCTAATTACTGACTAGACGCTGGGGTAATTTTCTCTGTACAAGAACGAGGTAAGAATGAAGCACTAGCCGGCTGAATCAATAGTAAACTGTAAGGAACTACAAAGTAATTCCACAGTAAGGTCGATTGACAGTGTAATCAAAGACAGGGGTTGTCAGTAGATGTGTATGGCTGAGGTCAGCTGAACTGCAACAATTTCACTTGAAGCTTAAAATTAATCTATATTAGGCTAACAAAATTGTCAAAAGTATTCCTTACAGTAACCGCAACAAGACAATGTGTATAACTGAGGTTAACTGAATCCATAAATTTCCTTAACAGGAATGGCAGGAATTAAATTAGTACGACTAAGTTTAAGTGAATTAACAACACTGCTTCCTTCTTG